CTTTAGCTGTATTGCATAATTATATAACTAGGTTTTATATTTCACTCATACATTTTCTTTTAAATAACAGCTTTATTCATATATAATTCACATGCCATATAATTCACACACTTAGAGTTGTACAACCTTTACCCCAATAAATTTTAGACCATTTTCATAACCCCATAAAGAAATTCCATACCTATCAGCGGTCACTTGCCATTTTCTCCAGACCTCTCAGCCCCAGGTAACCACTAATCTACTTTCTGTCTATAGATTTACTTATACTGGACGTTTTCTATAAATTGAATCATACAAGAATTCTTTTATTGCTGGCTTCTTTTACTCAGCATGTTCAAGGTTTATCAATATTGTATCATGCATCTGTACTTCAGTTTTTAATTGAATTTAAGAATTTGTGACTTTTTATTCTTTTCTATTCTATTCTTTTTATTCTACTCTTCCACTTTACAGATATACCACATTTTATTTGTCTGTTATTTTATTGATAGATACTTTGATTTTTCCACTTTTTGGCTAATGTGAATACTGCTGTAAACATACATGTAAAAATTTTTTTTTTTTTTTATGTTGGAGTCTCACTCTGTTGGCCAGACTGGAGTGCAGTGACCGCTCCCGGCCACCGCAGCCTCGACCTGCTGGGCTCCGGCGATCCTTCCGCCTCAGCCTTCCGAGTAGCTGGAACTACAGGCGCGCGCTACCACGCCCGGCTAATTTTTGATTTATGTAGAGATGAGGTCTTGCCAAGTGCCCAGGCAGGTCTCGAACCCGTGGGCTCAGGCAGTCCACTCATCTCAGCCTCCCAAGGTGCGGGATTACAGGCTGAGCCACCAAGCCTGGCTACAAATTTTTATATAGACATGTCCTTTCATTTCTTATGGAGATACACACACACACACACACACACACACTCACACTGCTAGGTCATTCAAACTCTTGAACCACTGCCGAACTGTTTTCCAGTATAACTGTACATTTTGCAATCCTATGAGGTGGGATACAATTTTTCTACATCCTTGTCAACACTGTTATTAATCTGTCTTTTTAATTAAAGCCATCCTAGTGGATGTGGAGTCTATCTCATTTTGGTTTTGATTTATAATTCCCTGATGATTGATAACGTTAAAAGCATCTTTTGGTGTGTTTATTGGCCATAGAAGAAATGCCTATTTAAATTCTTAGCCCATTTTTTAATTGATTTGTCTTTTTATTGTTGAGTTGTACAAGGCCTTTATTTTGGATATAGTCCCGTATCATATATGATTTGCAAATATATTCTCTTATCTGTGGGTTTTCTTCTCAGTTTCTTGTTGGTATCCTTTGGAACTCAAATGTTTTTAAATTTGATGAAGTCAAATTTATTTTTCCTGGTGTCATATCTAATAAGCCATTGCCTGGTTCAGGGTCACAAGATTCACCCTTGTTTTTTCCTAAGAGTTGTATAGTTTTAGCTCTTATGTTTAGTTCTTTGATCCATTTTAAACTAATTTTCATATATGGTGTCAGGAAGTCATCTAACTTCATTCTTTTGTATGTGGCTATTCAATTGTCCTGGCATCGTTCGTTGAAAAGACAATTATTTTTCCACTGAATTGTCTTGGCACTCTTGTTGAAAATCATTTGACCATAAATCTGAGATTTCATTTCTGGACTCTCAGTCTATTCCATTGATCTATATGTCCATAAATTTATATTTTTCTTTCATTCTTTCATTGATTCTTCAAAGATTTATTTGATACCTCTAAATGCCAAGCATTGTGCTTGACATATTCATGTTACTTGCTTTTGGGAGGCAAACCATTCCCCTTCAAAGTTCACATTTTCTTTTATGGAACCCATTCTAACAGAATATAGCATCTTTTTTTTCTTAATGAGATACATAGTGATTTCCTCTCATAGCCAAACCTGTAGAAACAACTGTAGATTTACCTGATTTGTATGTAAGCTTTTGACAAGTTGTAGTTTGTCCAACCATATGAATGTTCAGAATTCTGAAAGTATTTTAGAGGACTTGGAAGAATAAAAATTGATCTGGGCTAGTGACTGTTGAAACTGAGGTTAGTTTGATTTATTTTTATTTTATATTTTATTTTATAAGTTGGGAGTCTCACTCTGTCCACCCAGGCTTGAGTGCAGTGGCATGACCACAGCTCATCACAGCCTCAGCCTCCTGAGTAACTGGGACTACAGGTACTTGCCACTATGCCCAGCAATTTTTTTATTTTTTGTAGAGATGAAGTCTTGCTATGTTGCCCAGGCTGGTCTCGAACTCCTGGGCTCAAGCTACGAGGTTAGTTTTAAAGTGGAAAAAGGATCTGCGACCATAACGAGAGAGTGCTGGCAATTGTGGCAGGGCATGTGTGCAACTTGAGAGGTACAGAAAGGTGGGAAGTCTAGTTGCCCGCAGCAGTAAGGCCAGAAAGAAGTAGAAGGAAGTTGCTGAATTGAATATACACAATTATGCTTCCAATTTTTATTTTCATAGCAGTTCCTTGCCAGAAAAAGTTACAAAGAGAAAATGTTTACACATAATGGCTTATTGCTGGATTTAAGATGAGTTGAAGCAATCTCCAGATTTAATGCAATACCCATTAAATTACCAGCAGCTTTCTGGAAACAACAATACAGGGATTCATATGGAAACGTAAGCGACCACGAATAGCCAAAACAATCCTCAGCGCAAAAAAAAAAAAACCAAGCGGAAAGTATCATACTCCCAGACTTTAAACTTTATTATAAAGCTACAGTAATCAAAACAGCCTGGTATTGGTACAAGAACAGGCATATAGACCAACGGAACAGGACTGAGATTCCAGAAGCAAAACCTCAAGTTCTCAACCAACTCATCTTTGACAAAGCCTCTACCACCTACCACTGGAGAGAGCAGAACCTATTCAGTAAATGGTGCTGGGAAAACTGGCTGATCACATGCAGAAAATTAAAGCAAGACCTCTACTTGTCCCCATACACAAAAGTCAACTCTAAATGGATCAAAGACCTAAACGTAAAACCTCAAACTGTAAGAACCTTAGAAAATGCAGGAGACACCCTTATGGAAATTGGAACTAGCAACCAACTCCTGATCAAAATCCCAAGTGCCTGTGCCATAAGAGATAAGATAGACAAGTGGGACCTCATCAAACTGACAAGCTTCTGCAAAGCCAGAGAAACCATCAAGAGATCAGGGAGACAGTCCACAGACTGGGAGAAAATATTTACCAGCTGTACATCTGACAAAGGCCCAACATCTAGGATCTACAAGGAACTCAAATGTGCTGAAAAGAAAAAAACAGCCCCATTAAAAGTGGCCAAAAGATATGAATAGACACTTCTCAAAAGAAGATATAGGAGCAGCCAACAGATAATTGAAAAAATGCTCAGCCTCACTAGTCATCAAAGAAATGCAAATTAAAACTACACTGAGATACCACCTACTCCAGTCAGGAAGGCCATCATCAATAACTCAAAAAATAACAGATGCTAGAGAGGATGTGGCAAAAAGGGAACACTTCTACACTGTTGGTGGGAGTGTAAACTAATATAGCTTTATGGAAAACAGTGTGGCGATTCCTAAAAGTTCTAAAACTCGACCTTCCATATCACCCCACAATCTCCCTGTTCAGAATATACCCAGAAGAACTCAAATCACTCTATAAAAAAGATACCTGCACACATATGTTTATCACAACATTGTTCACAATAGCAAGAACACAATAGCAAGAACATTGTTCACAATAGCAAGAAACAACCGTGTTGCCCATCAAAAGAGAACTGTATAAAAAAAATGTGGTACATATACACAATGGAATGTTATGCAGTCATAAAGAAGAACATAATCATGAACTTCGCAGAGCCTGGATGGACTTAAACTATAATACCGAGTGATCTTTCACGAAAACAAAGAACTGAGTATCACATGTTCTCACTCATAAGTGGACCTTGAACTTATAATACTATAAGAAAAGGATTGGCAGTAGCAGGAAGCTGCCAGGAGGGGGGTGGGAAACAGGATTGACAGTAGTAGGAGTCTTCCTGGGGAAGGGGGGGCACATCTCATCAACAAGGGTACCTGCATAATGAACATTTGTATACCTAACCCTGAATTGTACTCCATATCTTTAAAATAAAAAAAGTAAAAGTTAAAAAAAAAAAAGATGAGTTGAAGAAAGCAACAATGCAAAGGGCCCTGCAGCGTATTCAACGTTAAACCCTGAAACTAGTTCTGATTCACCTTCTGTCAGGTCTAAAGGTTCTCGGTTGGTTTCTGCTAGTATTGAGATAAATTATATTATTGCTAGTGGTCAAGAGGGGATAATTAATCAGGAGTGTTAGCTCACCCCTGGGACAGGCCAAAGAAATGTAAACTTAACAGAATTTGATGATTATCTAAAATATTAAAGATTATTTCAGTGTTACAACTTGAGGATATTGGAAGGATAATTGTACCAGTGCCTGTAATGAGCAAAGTGAGGAAAGTTTTAAACATAATCTTTGTTTTTGCTATGCATTGGCAAAATATTCAAGTAGATAATAAAAAATACCTAGTAATGATTAGATAGTATATCAAGTCTGATCTCCAGGAGCTATCAACATTCATTAGACACAAATAGGATTGATTTCCCACCTTTTGTTGCCTATTTGTTTGAAACCCGAATTGTAAAGAACCTTTTATTGTCTAAAGGTTAGGTGGTGGTCTTAGTTTCCCTATCTGTAGGATAAGTCTAAAAAATACTGTACTCAGTCAGTGGTTTTGAATGACTTATGAAAGCTGCCCAGATTCCATTGTTTGGTAGTGCCATTAACAATATTATTGTTTTGAAGGAGGAAAAAGTTCTTAATATTGACTACATTGAAAAACTTTTGTCTAGCAACATAAGTACATTTCAGTTGCCCAAGATGGTTTTGGCTCTAAACATTTAAATCGAAATGTTTTAGGAAATTTATTATATGCCAAAACTTAGTACAGTCCATTTATTTATCCATCCTAAAATCTTTTTCAGGAATTGTTCCATCTTCTGTTGTGCTGACTTCTTTCCAGGTGATGTCAAGAGTTTTTCTAATATGGGCAGTAACACACAGCGTCAAAGAGGTAAGTATTTATATAGAGTAAAATAAAATAGTACCAGCACTACCAAACACTAGTCAACTTTTCTTTTCCACATGTTTGTTATGATGAAAAATGGAACTCCAGGTCATATCAATATAGCCAAGGTAAAGTTCACATTCCCTATAAGAGTTGGGTTAATAGTGGAAACAAAATATGCAGTGTTGTTAAAAAGAAGACTGATTAAATGGTAAAGTTTTACAAACTTAGTTCCCATGAAAGATTAAAGGTACCGATGTGGTCTGCAATTCAAGTTATATATTTCTGGTATCTTGTTTGTGTCCTGCACACTAAACTTTAGGCATCTGTATCCTTGTACCGGGAATGGGAGACAGATTTATTCGTAGAGCAATTTGATTTTTATGGAACTAGGAGAAACTGCCTTGTTTCTGCCCAGCCTGTCGGGTCTAATGAAATTGCCAAATGTGCTAAGTCTAGGGGATCTGACAGACCAGTGCTCTGTTAGGGGCCCTGGGTGGTAGGTGCCCTGGCAGGCCCAGGGATATTCACAGCAAGAATTGGGGGGACAAAGCCATCATCACCATGGATGTGAATCTGCAACTAAACTTTCATTTTTGGAGAGGGGATGGGATTTTTTTTTTCCTCTTTCAGAGTCAGTTTTTCTTGCCAATGTCACCTTGAGGTAGAGTACTTATAGCCACAAGAAAAATTTACTTTTCCTTTTTCTGGTTTTTTTTTTTTTTTGGCCTGTCACCAGCATTATCAGATTCTTTGGGGTTCATGGAATTGCTTATCCATTAGCATTATTCTAGCGTTTTTTGTCCTCCATTCTTCTGAAATCCTTATCAAAACATTTTGGTTTTCAGGTTTTATTTTGACAGTTTCATTTGTATTTTAACTAATGAGGGTTTTCTTTTTTTTTATAATCAATATTTTTTATTATGATATTGTGGGGTACAGTTAAGGGTTAGGTATACAAGTACGTTTCGTTCAGGCACCATTGTTAAGAGGTGTTTCCCTGTCCCAGACAGATATTTACTACCGTAATCCCCTCTCCTTCCCCCCCCCCATAGTTTCCCACTACTGTCAGCCATTTTCTTATAGTATTACATTGGATATTCAAATAACACTATATGAATGACAACATGTGATACTCAGATCTTTGTTTCTGTGAGAGATCACTCATTATTATAGACTCTAGTTCCATCCAGCTTGCTGCAAAATTCATGATTTTGTTCTTTATTATGGCTGCGTAGTATTCTGTCGTGTATATGTACCACATTTTTTTAATCCAGTCCTCTTTTGATGGGCAGCATGGTTGCTTCCAGGTTCTTGCTATTGTGAACAATGCTGCGATAAACATACGTGTGCAGGTATCTTTTTTATAGAGTGATTTCAGTTATTCAGGATATATTCCCAGTAGGGGGATTGTGGGGTCATATGGGAAT